CCCTCCGCCTACCCCCTCATCCTCTGCCTGGTGGTGCGTTGCTCAGCCCCCCAGCAGCGCCTTGCCGCCCAGTGCCTGCGCAAGACACTGGGGGAGAAACTGTACCTGGAGCCCCCCAACCCCGCCGCCTCCTACCTGCCCTCCCCGGAGCAGCTCAAGGGCCGCATCCTCATCAAGGGCAAGAAGCTGCCGCCCGGCTGCGAGGACAGCGAGGGGGAGGTGTCGGACGAGGAGGAAGGCTGGGAGCTGGCGCGGCGGCTGGGCCAGGAGGACCGGGAGGTGCCGGAGGGAGGTGGCCCGCGGCGGGTGCGCCTCAGCCGGGAGCTCTCGGAGCTGGTGAGCCTTTGCCAGGCTGTCCCCTTCCAGGACTTTGAGAGCTCGCGGCGCGGGCAGCGCTACTGGGAGATGTGCTCCTTCAGCGAGGTGGAGGCAGGACGCTTCGCCAACGAGTGCCCGGCCGAGCTGGTGAGCTACAACAAGCGGTTCCTCTCCCGCATCTACCCCAGCCCCATGCGCATCGACGCCAGCAACATGAACCCCCAGGACTTCTGGAAGTGCGGCTGCCAGATGGTGGCCATGAACTACCAGACGCCGGGGCTCATGATGGACCTGAACGCGGGCTGGTTCCGGCAGAACGGAGCCTGCGGCTATGTCCTCCGCCCCGCCATCATGCGGGAGGAGGTCTCCTACTTCAGTGCCAACGCCAAGGACTCCTTGCCTGGGGTGCCTGCCCAGCTCCTGCACCTCAAGGTCATCAGTGGGCAGAACCTGCCCAAGCCCAAGGGCTCGGGGGCCAAGGGGGGGGTGGTGGAGCCCTATGTCTGCGCCGAGATCCACGGCATCCCGGCCGACTGCGCCGAGCACCGCACCAAGACGGCCCTGCAGAGCGGGGACAACCCTGTCTTTGATGAGAGCCTGGAGTTCCAGATCAACCTGCCAGAGCTGGCCGTCCTGCGCTTTGTCGTGCTGGATGATGACTACATCGGGGACGAGTTCATCGCCCAGTACACCATCCCCTTCGAGTGCCTGCAGCCTGGCTACCGCCATGTCCCCTCCAGTTCCCTGGCTGGGGAGCCCCTGGCCCACGCCACCCTCCTTGTCCACGGCGCCACTGACCGCCGCGGCGGAGGCAGGGGGCACCGCCGGGGGCTGGCAGGGCGCCGGGGCCGCCGGGTGCGGGAGTACACCTCCACCAAGGCCACCGGCATCAAGGCCATCGACGAGGTCTTCCGGACGGCCCCCCAGCCACTGCGGGAGGCCACCGACCTGCGAGAGAATGTGCAGGTACGGACCCCATGGAGGCACTGGGGGACTTGGTTTCTGCAGGGGAGGATGGGGCTGGATCATGAGCACTGGGGAGCCCGAGCACCCCCCCCCACCTGGGGGATGTGGGGCCTCATCTGGAGCAGAGAGCCAGGAAAAAAGAGGCCACTCCAAGGGGTGGGGGGGATTCTTGGGGGCCCTCCAGGGCTGACCTCCTGACGCCAGTCTCTGCCCACAGAATGCGCTGGTCTCCTTCAAGGAGCTGTGTGGCCTGACGCCCGCCGCCAACATGAAGCAGTGCATCCTGACGGTGGCAACGTGGCTGCTGCACAGTGACAGTGCGCCCAGCGTCACCCTCAACCTGGCAGAGCAGTACCCCCCCATGGAGGCCCAGGGCCCTATCCCGGACCTGCTGCGCAAGGTCCTCACCGCCTACGAGACGGTAAGCACCGTTCCACTGGGACTCAGCTCCTCGCAGGGATGCTCCAGCAGCACAGGACCACGGCCCAGCCTAGGACAGGGGATGCCAAACTCCCTACACCCATCCCGGTGCAGGGGGAGGCTGGTGGGGGGCTGCGTGGGGGGCTGGCCAGGGAGGAA